TATACATTGTATATAAAATTTAAATGCATATAATAAAGCATGTAGAAAACTAAACAAATTTTACTTAAGATATCTTTTCAAGTTTTCATATATTTTACTATTCCGATAATGAATATGGATTATATATACGAAAGAGAGAATAATAAATTCTCGAAAATGATATGTTGTAATGTAACTTTATTACATATGATTGAATTCGTAAAACAAATCTTTAATTTGATAAAAAAAATTTGAAAATTTAAGAAAATTATGGATATTTTGTTAAACAAAAAAATAAAATTTTTTTATCTATAATTTTAAAATATTTTTATAACTTTAAAATACTTTTAAAACCGTACAATTTTTGTTTAAAAAATTTTTTCCTATCTTTTATACTTTTATATTCGCCTTGAAAGAAAAATATCATTCTTTTTTTAAGAGGTGTTTCACCCATTAAACATGAGTTAGCGCACGTATAAAAAATATGTATCTCTTAGATTTTCGTATGTTTAACAACATATTTCATGGAGAATCAAATCGGTTCTGGACAGTGAACCTTTCTCCTTGTTAAAGAGAATTTTAAATCGAGATCTTATTTAAATTCGTGTGTAGTACTCACGAGAATCCGAGTGAGTCCCGTTAGACATCTGGTGGCGAGTTGCCACAGCACTCCATCCTAATGGAGTGTGCGATTCAATAGAATAATAAGGATCTGTAAGGAGCGCGGAGCAGTATAATTTAATAGCGTTCGTTATCGTTCGTTGTTATTCGTTATTATTCAGATGCTGCTTGATGCTGCTCTGTTACTTGCCACAATTACTTGCTGTAATGATATATAGTATCGGTATGAGAAGAAGTGTGAGCATGTGTGAGTGTTGCGAGCGTGTGCGTGAAAAGGTTAGGTCAGAAGAGATGCGTGTTCATATTATCACGTCGGGGTCACCATTTGGTTTACTCTGGCGTTTCGTCCCGATCCCCCACTACTGCACTCATCAAGACAATGTAGTGGGGATTTGCCTTAGACGCCTGGGAGAATTTTAGATCGAGATTCTATTTAAACGGAATTCGTGTGGCTGTGATGCTCATGAGAATTCGAGCGAATCTCGTTGGACATCTAATGACGAGTCGCCACAGCTTCATTGATTGTTAAAATTAATTCCAGACTGAAATTATTTCTTAATGATTATGATGCAATTGATTAAAATCCAGAAATAAATCCAGATGTTATGTTTAATAGCCGAAATCAAATCACAAATACTGTCATGATTGCTTAGCAATATGCATACGGAAATAGTAAATCCTATAATTTGTTATGTAGTAAAAGTTTAATGTAGAAGGAATGGAATGATTTATTTAAAAAACATTCTTTGAACTATATATATATATGTGTACTATTATTAAAAGTTAAAGTATAAATTAATAAATGTAAATTTTGCACTTGTATTGACCATAGCATTAAATTTTCATTAATTTTTTAGTTAAAATTGCCGATTTTTTAATGAAAGATTTCTTAAGAACTTGGTTATGTGAAAATAATAGTAATCGAACTTCAGTTAAAAAGCAAGAATGGAATGGAGAAGAATCTGTAAGTAGGAATCATATTAGGAATATATTAGGAATATATTAAATGTTATAGAGAGAGAAATTTATTAATTATTGGAAGATGACTATTCGGTAAACGGTTGGTATCACTTTTTTAATATGTATCAAATATGTATCGCAAATATGTATCAGATTACTAATCTTTTATAACAAGAGGGCTTTATATTAGAATGCTCACATCATTTGAATTTATAATTTTCATTTATTCTATGTTCAAAAATTATCGATAGTAAGTTACCTGTTTTTTTTAATGTTCGAATGCTTTTTGATCCTCGTTTTTAATATTTGTTTTGTCTGATCAACATAAGGGGATGGCTTTACAATCTTGATAGCTTATTTTATAATATATAACTCTTCACAACGTAACATTAATTAATTCAATGTTATTTTTGCCAGTTTTTATAAAATTATTTAGAGAATTAATAGATTCGAAAGCCATACTCATTTTATATTTATTAAATAGAATTGTAAATTTATCAGAAATATTTTTCAAATAAGGAACGATAAAATATTTTTTATTAACTGTTTTTTCTAATTCATTAAAAAAAAAAATTTTTTTCAGTATATGCATTGATGTTAATGCGATTGTTAATCATAGAAAATATGAATTCCAATGGATAATTTTTAAACAAAATGATCATTAATATATTATAGGTATAATAAGATTTTTCTGAAAATCAGGATGTGACAAAAAAAAGAGTTCTTTTTAAGAGGCCTATAATTACATTTTAACTATCAAACATTTAAACCATTTAATTACAAACATTTAATTACATTTTTTAACGGTGGTTTGAAATTTTAAATATCTCTCTAAGTTTGTGGATTTTTTGTACAAATCAAATTTAATTCTTTCACCATCAATCAATTCCATCACATCAAGGAAATTAATAGTTCCATTATGACCAATTTCCATGGTATTCTAATCTATTTGTGGTTTATATTGTAATTAGTTACTTAATTATGAGTTAAAATGTTCAACTATCTCATCTAATTTACTGACGGTACGCTTTTCTTGCTGGAATTCGCTCACCGAAAGTTCGAGAAAGCATCAAGTCGATTCCCAATCAGAAATAGTTCCTCGAAAAGACGTCGTTTCGACGTCGTTATGATGGAAAAGTTATTGATTCTAAAGTTGCATCGAAATTTTAACATTTTCGAGTGATAAAAAATTACGTTAGAGAATGCAATGAGAATTTGATACATTTTTAATATTTTTGGTATAAATATTAGGTGTGGGAAAAAGTTCGTGGTGTTTTTCCCGTTAGATGGCATTAAAAAAACGCCACGAACTTTTTCCCACACCTAATATGTGATACGTAATCTTATATTTTAAATATTTTTGTTCAAAGGTCGAATCGACATTTTTTTCGATTTCATTTCGACAATTGCAATATCGCTCTAATCACAAAAGCTTTCTTCAAATTTTTCAGAATTTATAAATAATTTTATAACTTTTTAGAAAATTCGAAACGTTCTCGATTTTTAAATTAATGAAATTTAAATGTCTATCATACAAATTTTCAATATTATTTAGAAATATAAAAATACTACTAGTGTCACTGCTACAGTAGTATTACTACTGATACGCAATAGTGTCAATGCTGAGCCAGCAGTATTACTATTGTAGTATATGACGACATATGACGTAACATAGAACTACTTCCAGTAATTATAATATTTAAAATCTAAAAAAATTTATTAGAGTAAAAAATACATATATATATATATATATAATATTTAGAACAATTAGTATTATTTCAGCTAATAAAAATATTTTACAGTATTATTAAAAACAAGTTATTATCATAGATATTATCATTTGTACATTACTACTATATTTAACATTAATTATATTTTTTTTATGTGTCCGCCTCTTTCACAACATCTTTGAACAGATATGTTACAATTATACATCCATTAACATTATAGATGTTCATTGTTCTTCAAAGGAGCAATTTCCGTACGATTACAAAAATGACGCATAATGGTAAATAGAGGTTCGGATTCGGATGGGTGACCGCGCATCATAAAATTAGTTCTCAAATTCCATAAAATAAATTTTTTTTTATTATAATTTTGTCGTGTGTATGATATCTCTGAATATGCTATATGCTCAATAATATTTATTTTTACAAAATTTCAATGAAACTTTAATGAAATTTTTTCCACCATTATTATGCTATTAGTGACACTACTTGTCGAATTTACTTATTGCATTAGTGACACTAGTATTATTGACACTAATAGTATATTTGTATGCTGACTAGATCAATTCAAGATTTTATTTTCAATTCGAAAATTAATTGAAATTGGAGCCAAAAATCCGTCGAAATCAATAGAAATTTCGACTTTTCGACATCGAAACGATGTCTTTTCGAAAAATTATTTCTGACTGGATTTATTAAGAAAATATCTTTATTGATATCACATTCGTTAATTGACAAATGATTGTTACATAGATATAGGCTCTACCTACCACCGTTTGCTGAGATGCACGAGGGGAGAGAGAGTGAGGACCCTTGGACAGAGCTCGAAAGGATTGGACACTACCTTTTAAATCTTCCCATATAAAGTTTAGGAAAATGTCACTGTTTGTAGCCGTCATAATGGCAATATTGATGAGTAATAGCACCGCGTAATTACGTTTGTGTATCTGTTTTATGATTTGAATATTGAAAAGTAAATATTATATGTTTGTCTAATTCCATTATTTTTTGGTCTAATTCCATTATTATTATTTTGCATTTACGTAAAATTATATTGTCACAATAAAAGATGGGTGTTTTACGTGAGTTAATTTTTGGGCGTGCTTCTTTAAGCTAAAAAACTTGAACGATTATTTATTTAATAATGTAGTGGTTAGGAGCCTTGGGCATTGGTTAGGCAGGTTTGAGCTTATCCAAACTTAGATCTGTTCGCGTTGTTTACACTTTTTGCACTCAGTATATCGTATTGCTTTCTTTTTTTCAATATATACTTATCTTATTTTAAATGCACACGTTTTTGGAGCGACGTGAACTCTAGATTTGTGAATCTCTAGATTTAAGCCGTGGGAAGCTCTCTGTTTCAGTCACTATCATAATTTTTTGTTTTTATTCATAGGATTACCATGCCATTTAAACATGTAAAGAAAACAGATTGTCACATCTAGATATTATATGAAAAATGTTCAAACCTCCCTCGGGCACTTTTCATATTTTTCATTATTTTTCATGATAGTCTAGTTTTGGCCTAAACTTTGAATGCAAAAAAAAACATTTGCATTTAAAATAAGATAAGTATATTTGGGCGTTGAAGAAAAGAAAGCAAAAATCTATAGCTAAGAACATAAGTTATTTAAAATATAATCTTGGTACTATTTTCTTTATACATACATTTTATTTAAGATTTTCCTGAAAAGTGCCTGAGGGTCCCCACTCTCCCCTATGCGCGAAAATGCGTAAATACCACGCTACTGCCAAGAGTGCGTACTAAGGGTGTTGTGATACAAATGAGTCATCAATATATACAAAGTATACAAGCGGATCGCATACGAGCAGATCGTGGATATGTACAGACGGTTACAAAATGGGTCACAGATACTGATCGTTACAGATAGATCATGGATATGTAGATACAGTTTCAGGCGGGCAAACAAATCCAACAAGTCGGAAGCACTCGATTCGGAGGCGATGGCAGGAAGAACGGATACCAGTCGGAAGCGCCCGAATTGTACACCGGGAGTACTCGGTTGCATATGGGAGCATCCGTACATTGTACGGAAGATCGGAAGCAGCTTATCAGGAGTCAGGGTCGACCGGAAGCTCGTGCACTGGGAGCGCTGTGAACGAAAGCACCTGTTCATTGCACGACGGATTCTTGGAAGCACTCGAGCTAGAAGGAGGAATCTCAAGGAGCGATTTTGATATGATTAAGGATCTAGACAGAATTTGTACCCCCAACCGGTGGATGCTCGGTGGAATATTTAATAAAGAGGGAATCTCTCTTATTGATTATAAATCACGCATCGCATGCGTAATTATATACGTATGCAAGTCGAGACCCCCAAGACTCCGAGAACCACGAGAGATAGCCCAAGTCCTGCAAGATCGTCGTTTATATACAGAGATATTGTTAGGGACGGGAGTTCGAGAATTGATTGGTCAAGTTCGGATTGATGGGATTTTTTTTGATAGAATTAGATTTTTAGTTTTTCTAGTGTTTGTTGATAATTAGTTATTGGTGAAAAGTTACCGAGACCTCTTTAGTCTTTGTTTCAGGATTGGTCAAGATTTGAAGTGCGTTTTGAGGAGAGGAGGAGGTATTCGGCAAAATCTGTGTAGTGTAGGCAAGTGTCATTCTTAATTTTATGACGCTATTCCTTAAAGTTATATGCAGAGGGTGCTTTGACAGATGTACACGTGCAGTACGGTGCGGGATAAACGAATGTTTCTCGAGTGTCGCGTGTCGTTTCTTAATTTTTAATTGCGGACTTCTGATCCGGGAATCAGTCTGCGATTTGATCGTTAGAAAATATCTTGGCGTCCCTTTAATAGATATTATTATCCCTTTAACCGTGGTGTCTGAGGAAGAGATTTCGACATTTTCACTGTGCACGTGTGTTGTTTTCTTTTATTTTTCTTTAAATGATAATTATGATGATAGAAGAACAGATATATTGAGCATGGGAGCGTGGCGATTTTTTAGTAAAATTAAAGTATTTTTTTTAGATTATTGAAATCAATTTATTTAAACCAAATATGCTTCATTATTTTCTATAATATTTTGCCATTTTTGGGGCAGAACTTCTCGCGTAATTCGCGATAGAACTTCTAATTCCATCGCGATAGAACTTCTGTGGTTTCTGATCAAAAAACTGCTTCAAGTGATTTTCACAGGCCTCTTTTAAAGCTAGCTTTACACATTAAGAGAGTTCTGCAGAGACCTAAACAAATGATAGTCTGAGGATGCTATATCAGGACTATACAGTGGATGCATTAAAACTTCCCAGTCAAGCTCTCGCAATTTTTGAGTCATCAAAGATGTGTGTGATCGAGCGTGTCATGGAAGATGACACCTCTCCTATTGATTAATTCTGGCCGCTTTCTCTTAATTGCTTGTTGTAATCTCTGTAGTTGTTCACAGTAGAGTTCGGAATTAATTGTTTGATTGGACGATAACAGCTCATAGTGAACGATTCTCTTCCAGTCCCACACACACAACATCATCTTCTTCCTTGTCAATCCAGGTTTTGCGATTGCTTGCGCCTTCTCTCCTTTCTTTATCCACGATCTTTTTCTAGTTGAATTGTCGTAGGTGATCCATTTTTCATCACCAGTTCATTCTCTTCAGAAATGGCTCAATTTCATTCCGTTTCAGTAGCATATTACAAATGTTAATTCGGTCCATCATGTTCCTAACACTCAACTCGAGGAACCCAAACATCGAGCTTCTTTTTGTATTCAGCTTTGTGTAAATGATTTAAAACTGTTTTGTAGTCGATGCCTAGTTCTTTAGCAATCTCTACAGTGCTCACATACTTATCACGCTCGATTTTTACCATGATTTCATCGGATTTTTCAGTAATTGGTCGACTGGAGCGAGGTTCATCTTTCACATCGAAATTTCCAGCACGAAAGCGAGCGAACCATTTCCGTGCTGCTGATTTTGATAGAGTATCTTCACTGTAAATAGCGCAAATTTTTTCACAAGCCTGTGCAGCATTCTTGCCTTTATCGTAGTGATACTGCAAAATGTAGCGAATTTTTTCCTTATTTATTTCCATTTTCAAAATAAAATAATTTTTGATCCACTTCACCGATTTCAATCTTTTTCGGTTCAAAACAAAGGTTAAAATGTCACTTTTTAAACACACGTCTAGTGTTACCGATGCGATTAGTAGTTGCCGACTGCTGAGCATTTAATGCCATCTAGCGGGAAATACGCCACGAACTTTTTCCCACATCCAATAATAGCAGATATAATAGATTCTTTACTTAAAAGAGAAGATTTTATTACTATTTAAATTTTTGCTCATGGATTTTAGTTCGGTTCTCATAACAATTGGAAGTTCAACGAATTTTAGTTCTCCACGAAAAAAAGAATCGGAGTCTTTGGATATAACAATTATAAAAACTGATTTTAATTATACATTTTTAATTTTTTTTCTTTATTTCTGTCTATTCAGAGACTTCAATCAATAAAAAAGTAGATAATATAAAAATATATTATTATTATTATTATTATTTAATTGAGTCACTTCGAGTTTTGATTACATTGTTACATCGTTCAATATACTTCATCATCATGTTATTTTTATGAAAATTAAAAATTATTAAATGCGAAAAAATCGCTGGAATATCCAAATTTATCATAAAAATTACTTAAAAATCTAAATATTATAAAAATCAGTTATATTATTGAGCAATATAGACATATGTAAGCAATGTAAACTATATATGGACAAGTAAATCGAGCATTTTTTTCCTATTATATTTATTTCCCTTGAGTTGTTCGTTTTATAAGACGAAATCAATAATGCAATTGACATAGAAACGGTTAATTAAAATATTAAATCATATTTTTAATTTTTAATTTATATCACTAAAATTCAAGAATCATTTTCATTTAGTAATGTTTTATGAATGAGATGTCGACATTTTAGATGATTTAAGCTCTCGCACAAATATTCACGCAACGTTAGTTTTTTAATTGGTAACTTTAATTGGTTTTGCGTCGCTTAAACTACTCGAGTACAGTACAAGTCAGCATCAGAAAGGCTGGGATAATTTGTCTTTTTCGACTAAATAATAATTTGAATTCGCAACTCGACCTTGCCATAACCTCCCATTGGGAAGTTTTCCAGGGAATTCTCTCTGGTCACCATCCCATAAAGCTAGTCGTTGATCTTGCTACCGGAGATGCGCAAAGCTTCCGAAAACTCTGTTCGCATTAAAATAACTCGCGCTGTCTTTTCCCAGAGCACTGTACTATTAATTTCTTTTATTATACATTCTAAAACTTTTTAGTAAAAAGGAAATGACACGTTACAATATAATCTTTCAAATGATTGCATCAAACTTTTCAGTTTTTCGAATCTTTTTACTTGTTATTTACTTTGTTCTTTAGATGAAAAAAATTTGCCATAAAATGTGTTTATGTGTGTGTGTGTATATATATATATGTATATATGAAAATAATTTAATACGAATATATTAGATACAAATATTATACGATTCAGTCAGAAATGAAATATTATACGATACAAATCTCTTATAGAAAGTCTTTTGCCTTAGTTAAATTAGTTCCACTTTTATAACAAATAAATTTGCAAAAAAGTTCTCCGTAATATAATAAATACTGAACATATTTAGCTTGTTGATATTGCTGACGTGTTAAACTGTCGTTTCCTGCTAGCATATATAAAAAAAGATAACTTCGATATTTTAATAGCAACTGTTAATAGCAAGTTAGTAACAGAGTATTCCATCATGAAAAGAAGAAGACAACAAATCCGGATTTGAACATTTATCGTCGTTTTTCTAAAAACATAACGGTGAATACAGTATCGAAACTCGAAGTATTAGGATTGTCGGGTTTTCGCCGAGACGTCGCATGTCATTGGTATATGTCAATGTATACGGTCAGTACGAAATCTTCGATCGGAATTGACGGCTGCCCTCTTCCGGTTGAGCAGCTAGCCAACTACTCTCCTACTTCACTCTCAAGTGCACCAACTCCAAAGTTCCTCGAAGAGTCGTCACGGACGTTCCGGCGTCAGTCACTTTTCTTTTCTTTTTAGCACCTTCAATTTTCTTCCCACGCCAACAAGCAACATTAAATGTGTGTTCTGCTCACAACGTCGAAAACAGTATTGTGAACGATCGTTTTATTATAATAGCAATAATTTCTTGATTCTACATCTTTTTTTGTTTTAATTATTGTATCAATTTACTAAAAATATTTTATTACAAATACATTTATATTTGAATACGAATTACGATGTTATAACATCTAACATTTATTAAGAATTTTTAATTTAGCTAACGTAATAAAATCCTTAAACAATGAAAAGAAAAAAAATGGAAAATAATTGCCAATCATTATTTTGGGAAGGTTCATACATATCGCGCACAAGATGTTCGAAACTTATGGCTGATCTGTCGTTATTTCATAACATTATTTGATAACCTGCATTTAATTCTACTATTTTATTTTATGATAAAAACTTCATGTGATTTCGTGTATTCACGAGCTTAACGAAACGTCCTTTGACGAGCACCAAAAACGTTGATGCGTTTATTAATACGAAAGTCAGGAGTGTGACGTTTGTCAACTGGATGGGGTAAATTTTTTCCTGTGCTCGTCAAACGATTCACGTGATGCTATTTAAATTTTGGCGCATGATGATGCACACCCCCCCTCCACTCTTGCATTGTACAAATACAAATACTTTGCGGTTTTTGCGGTTGTACGCAAAGTGTGAAAGAATATGAAGGATTATCCAGCGGCATCGGTTGAATATTTCAGTTTGCTCTGGCACAACGGGAATAATAATGAAAATATTGTACGTTTAATATTCTACGAGCACACTTTCAGTCTCGCAGTTGTAACGATATATGCATTTTGGTTCAGCTTTAAACGAGAAGTATCGTCGCTATATAAATTTAAACTCAAATTTCGCGATGCCCCTGTCTGCATGATAATTGGTCGTATTCCGAGTACAGGTGTATATTCGTAAAAATTTGCGCCAACGAGTGGACCAAGCATTACGAGATATTCCACGAATATCGCATAAGCTTTGACAATATTTGGCGAAATAACGTGAGATACATAAAATATATGCTTTATTTATAAATACAAATAAATTATATATATATATATTTTTTTTTTTTAATCACATTATATATATATATTTTTTTAATCTTTCATGTGATTGAGTATGACAACATACATGATTTTATTTTGATGTATAGAATGATGATCAAAAACAATGGATTTTTAATGAAACATGCTATAATATAATTTTGAATCATGCATCATTATTTTTTCTAACATTCTATTCAGCTATCATTTGTATCATATAAATAGCTTACATGTGTGTATGCATAATTGCAATCTATTAATACGATTATAGGATTCATTGCATTATAAAAATCTGCGAAATCGGATTGTTCGTTCAAGCGTGAATAATTAATCCATTGATGCTAATAATAATAAGTATCTTTATATGATAAGCATGAAATCAAATAAGCAAATTTCTGAATTAAAAAGAATGTAAACGAGTAGATTGTAATTAAAATAATTTTACAGGCATGAATAAATAAGCATGAATAAATATTTAAGCGCTACACCATACCATGACGACGCGACAGTTGAAAAAAAAATGCAATTGCATTGAAAGAATAAATTCATTAAAGTGTCTAAAAATTCAGTTAGCTACAGATCTGAAAATAGTTCTGTTGGAATTAATAAAATAATTTTGTAAAACGTTCAAGCTGGTTGTTAGAATGTTATCACTTTTTGCAGTTATCACGTATTGCGATCATACCTTGAGTTTTATACATATTTATAATAATTTGATGATTCAACAAAAGTATTAATAGTAATTTTTGCATTATTGGAATTATTTCCAAATCTGTATCTATTCAAATTTTTAATTACTTCAGCAAAATCGTTCTTTTCATGCGAAATTTAATTTCAGTTGCGAGAATATTTTTGAATCTGCTGATGTCATCCATTGTGATCTCGTGGATTTCGGAAATGACACGATAGATGTGACCCAACGAGTAATCGTTTCCCGCTAATTTATCTTCGAATGGATCTCATTGATCGACGACCAAAATTCAGCGGAACAGTCTGGCTGTTCAAAGATGAAAAATTCACGAGCCAATACGAACACGACGAATTTTCTATTTGGCCATCAGGAGTTTATCAGTCACAATTATCGTTTTATTGACGCCTCGTCAATGATATCTTTATATACTAAAATATTGTTGAGAGGAGGATAAGTTAATCGTGTTAATGTTTATGGCAATTCAACTGTTATCAATTATATTTTGTGTCACTCATCACCATAATGCGGATTCGCATTATAAAGGCTATGTTGCAAAATTTACTACTAGCGCTAAACATTTAGTTTACATAACGCATACTATAGATTTCCAGTACTTGCAGTGAATTTTGGAACATAGTTAATGCAATCGGATTAGAACAAAAGTTTATTTGTAGCATTTATTTATATCATATATACATATTTTTAAAGAAATTTGGTAATAATATTAATCGATAGAACAAAATTTCATCTTTAATAATTTATTTCTTTAATTGCGGTAAAATGATTTTTAACGGAGTTGTGAGCAATTAAAGAAAAATATTCTTTTTATAGAGGGAAGCCTTTTATTATGAGATAGGATCTAATATGAGATATTGGCGGATTTCTAAACTAATAACGATATCTTAGTTCCACCATAAATTTATTTATATATTACTCTTGGATTGAAAATTATTTAGTGACAAATTCATTATTAGATTATACCTGTAGTCGCTGTAAAAAAAGATTTTATAATTTGGATGTCTTCAAGTTTCATTGACATGGGATTTTAATCCTTGTTTATTATTTATTAAATATTTGGCAATAAATTCTTCATTAATAATTATAGAATAAGATCGTACTAAAAGAAAAATGCGAGATATGTTGAATTGTTAAAAGTTAGATTTGACGATTGTAAAACCATAAGACATGGAAATCGAGATGTCCAGGGTATTTCTAATATAAAATTATTGCTCCTATGTCATAACGAAAATCGTTGCTAAAAGTATAAATGTTATTGTACACAGTGTTTGATCTTATCTAAATAAAATTATCTAGACAAAATTTGTCCGATAATATATCTAAAAAACTATTCTTTTTATGCAATAAAGATTTATGAATAAATGTGAACGTCAAGCTAGCTCGACTGTGATTGGTTAGTTAACAATGGTTAACAATGGTTATGACGTCTTTGCGACCATGCAATTAATATAGGGGAAAAAACTACAGAATTTTTATGATTCTTTATTGTAATTTTTCATTATTTCTTTGAAAATTGTAAGAGATGAAATAAATAACAAGTTATTAAATATTAAAATTATTAAATTTAATTTTTTAATTATTTTGAGAAGAAACTGATACCTTAATTTATAAACGAATAAATTGTAGTCTTAAAAGTAAAGAAAATTATCTGGAACTTTTCAGATGAATTTATCTCTATTATTTAGATTAATTAAAATATAATCATCTTTATCTTATCTAAGATAAATTTCCAAATTTTCATCTTATCTTTATCTAGTTTTAAAATCATCTATGCACAACTGATTATACTATAATAAAAAGGACAACCGGAATGAACATCGAGTGCCTGTTTCTGATTCCAACTATTTGAAGACGAATCTTGGATGCATCGCATATTAATTTTATGCGCACATTTGCTGTGTCTGTATTTTAGAAAGATTACATAAAATTTTTTTAATTTTTTGCTGATGTACTTTACGTTTTATTATCGATTTCTCGGAGCATCTCATATTAGAAGTACAATTTTTTGACTTTTTACATTTCTTTAATTTAAAAAAGAGTAAAAATTCAGATTAGAAAAGCATTCCCCAATGACCTTGACATATGTTGTCAAGGTCATTGGGGAATGCTTTTCTCATGATCCTGAATGATCTCTAACAGGTTTTAATAATAACTAACTTTTAAAACTATATATAAAAATTCTCTGCTTTAAAATAAGAAAAAGGAAGTCACGTATTCTTATTTATTATTATTTCATTATTTTATTATTATTTATTATTATATTTATTATTATTTCATATGTACTTTAAATATTTCTTTTTTAAATTAAAGATACATATTTTTCTATGTAAATTCTACATCTTTTTTTCGATTTTGTACACGAAGCGACTTTCTTTTTTTTATTTGTTTTAGTAGAACTTGTTTATAGTAGAACTTTTTTTTGCCTCACTTAATAACTTTTAAAGCAAAAAATTTATTTTAAAGCAGAGAATTTTTATATAAAACTTTTTCTGTTAACAATTTTTTAACGAAAGGCGATTGATGGCTAAAACTTGTTGGAGATTGCTCAGGGTCATGTCCTTGACAACATATGCTAAGGTTAAAGTCATTGGGAGATGCTCCTCTATTCTAAATTTTTACTCAAAATTTATTTATAATTAATCACATGATAAATTTCTTTCAAAGATTGAAACGACATAGGTATTTATTTAATTTTGACTGCATAAAACTTTTCTAATACCTTTCATATGTTGTAGTTGATATAATATGTCAAAGTACATTGAACAAGCACTTTTTTGCAATTTTAATAAGAAATTTGTCATTAATTGTGACATGGTAAAGCAAATAAATAAAATTGTGTTCAGCACCCAGAAGCCTATCGGAATAATTAAATTCCGTTTTGTCAATTTTTTTTTTTTGTTAAATAGTGTAATTCGTAATTGTTATGTTACGATACATATAATTAATGCAACCTTTTTATATGTTGCAGCGCTTTCCGACCCACCGATATTTGCTGAGCCGATACCAAATGTCACTGTGGCACTGGGAAGGGACGTCAGTCTACCCTGTGTCATCGAAAATCTCGGAAGTTATAAGGTAATACACTGAATTTGAATGCCGAAGTATATGAACGCATGTGGTCACTATCTAAATTGAACGCTTCTTTCTTAGAGAGTTTCGCACAGACAACTGGTTTCTCTTACTCTTGTAAATTTTCTTCTAGAGCATGTTTTCCAAGCGGTCGGAACTTGCCGTCCTTTACTAAATAGAGTTTCCTCAATTATTCGTTAATCGGATTACAAAGAGCGTGTTACAGCTGTGGTCTCGGTAAAGATGTTTCTTACGAAGTTCCGTTTTTTAAATCGTATTTCAGAGTAAAATGCTTAACTTCCTCGTAATGTTTTGCACGTAATGTTTTTGTCTTAATTTCTACTTAAAGTTGATTTTATGTTATCTTCTTATATATATATGCAATATAATTATCATGGTATTTACATACACATATTATTTCGCAAGTATTTTCTTTCGTAATGAGGACATTATAACATAACAGATAAGAAAAACCAGGTTATATAGTATCAAACATGTTCTTATATAATACGTTTTCAAATAGTTGCTATACTCTTTTTTAAAGTAATATACAAGTTTGTCGCATATTTTTCATCAACAATATGTAAATAAATACATTATTATTACATTTTAATTACAAATACGTCCAAAGAAACGAACATACATGATGTTTGATGATTATTGTTTAATATTAAGGTCACATACCAACAATCTATAGACGTTTCGACAGAGTCTTCATCAATATAAATTAAATTAGCATTCTACTTAATATAAAATATGTTGTCTATCAAAAAAAATTCCATGTCAATTATTCCACTGTAATTAAATCTGATGATAACGGTAAATCATGTCCGTCGTAATAAATGTCCAAAATTTAAAAAATCCAAATAAAAATTTTAACGGCGAGAATCACGTTCAGTTCCATAATGTAAGTTTAGTGTCAAATTAAATTAATAGTAATGATATGAAACAATTTTAACAAAATTTTCAAACTATCCTTATTTGATAATAACGCTCTTTATCGAGTCCCAAGTATGGCTGAGATCGAAAATATATACAATTTCTTTATTATTGACTCATATATCATATTGTTATTATTGACTCATGTAATATTGCAGACCTAGGTAGGATAAAATGTGTCTTTTTATTTTAAGAATCTCTATTTGAAATATTACACATCAACAAATCGCGCAAAAAACAGGTTTCCTTGTAAGAAAAAAAGACAGACACGTAATCTGGTATACTTTGTGATCTGCGGGCTCGTCCCGCTGGCATTGAAGACCACTGTTAGGCAACCGTATTGGAAACGCATCAGTTGTCCCGTCAGGGAGTTGGATGCGAGACGCCACTATACCGCAGCCTGCAGGCGATCAACGTTACACACGAACAAACATATCGGCAGGCGTAACGAGCGATGTAGTTTTCCAAAGTGAAACGGCGCTCTGAGGGATATATGAAAAATCGAGGAAATCCTTGAACTTCATTAAAAGTTGTCGATCGTATCGTCATTTCCCTTTTTGCGTTTATCATTTGGAGTCATGCATACAGTTGAAAAATTTGTGTTAAATTTAACACATTTCACATATCAATTCCTAAAGAATTCATTGAAACTTTTGTGTTAATTTAGCAAGATGAACATATTAGAAAATGATACAAATATTGTATAAACAAATCAACACAACAAATGTACACTGCTGCAATTTCTAAGCAAGTTGTGGAAGTAGGTATATTTTTCAATAAAATTATAATTTATAATATATTAAATTAATAATATTTTATTTATTTATTCTAGAATTTGTATTTTAAAATACGTAATTTTTTACAGTATTTTAAATCTAGTATTATAATATTATCAAGAAAAAATTTAATAAACAAAGATCAAAAAGGTTTTTTGGTCTTTATTGAATTTCAATTTTCTGTGGACATTATTTTTATGTTATTTGTTTACTTACTCATAAATTGTGTTATTTTGACACTAAAAAATCTTGAATATCGATTTAACATAAAATATTCAAATAATGTAATCATATTAGTTAATATTGGGATATGTTAAAAATTCAACACAAAATTTTAACAGGGACCTATTTTAGCATAAATATAAAATGTTTTTATTATGCATGCCTATATATATTTGACGTTAGAAATCCGGTGAGATAAATAAATGAATCGTGACAATTTTATGAGAATTTAATCCGGCTGCTAACGATTTTATTATGCTAATGGAAAGCAGATATGCATATCACACATGGCAGTTTATAATAATCGAAGTCTCACATGTTAATGAATAAAATATTATTTTATTGTTAAATGATATGCGACTATTCGTCTAGTATCGAACTTTCCAATTATAAACATAAAGAAGGAAATGTAATTTTTTCGCTATTCTGATAAGGCTCAAATTACGGATAAAATGCCAATTAATTAAATCAGGAAGCAACGTATACCTGAAATGCGTGTGTCTCGCTTCGTTTCTCTCGCGGTTTGTAATTACTTGAAAGTTGTATTCAGATGGATATGTTGTACCGTTAGACAGAAAATTGTAAGCACGCGATTACGTCTCGCACGAATAGTCTCGAGCGACAAATGGGACTGATCGTCAACTGATCGCGCGCAAAAGATATCTGTAATTCCTTGTGTCCATTGATCTTTATACAGGATATACCAGGTAAAATTACTTTATAGATAAAATTACTTTTATTTACAAATACTTTGATGAATATATCTCACAATTATCTTGTCAGATGATTTTTGATTAGCAAAAATATTGGAAGGTTAATTGAAATAGCAATTAATTGCTTTACAGATAATCATCAAAACAATTGAATTATTATACCGATAATATTATTTTGTAAAGCAAATGAACAAGATTGGATAATGGTTAAAAAGAATAAAAAGTTAAAAAGATAAAAGTTAAGTTAAAAAGTTAAAAAGTTAATTAATTTACAACTTAGTTACATTATTGACTCTTAACTTTTTAATTTAATTTAATTACATTTTATCGGTAATTATTAATTTTTAAACTGTTTTTTTTTAAAGTCAATTCTCAGATATAATATAATGCGAGCGGCTAATGAGTATATAATTTAATTAAGTAATTTTATATTATATAATATATCGTATGTGAATAAAAATAATCAGATTTTTTAATAAATGTTGTGAGAAAAGAAAAATACGAAAAATTATGTAAAATGGTCAAATTTTTTCTTTTTTTTTTGATTGCTCGTTCGAACTAAATTTAATTTTTAACTTTTCAATTACTTTTTTTATTAACTTAACTTTTAATTCAATTAATTTCATTATGGATTAATTTGTATTTTAATTAAGTTAAATTTTCAAGGCTTATTAATTTTACTTACTTAACTTACAAGGGAAGTTTCACAACTGTCCGGAACCGACTTGATTCTCCATGAAATATATTATAAAACACGAAAATCTAAGAAACAAATATTTTTTTATACGTATGCTAACTAATGTTCAAGGGATTAAATCCCTTTGAAAAAAAATGGCATTTTTCTTTTGAGACGAATATCATCGGAAGTATAAAAAGATAGAAAAAAAATTTTTAAACAGAAGTTGTATGGTTTCAAGAGTACTTTAAAGTTATAAAGAAAAATATTTTTTTTATTTTTTTTGTTTAACAAACTCCCATCACCCATAATTTATTTTAATTTTCAATTTTTTTTTTTACCAAATTAAAGATTATTTTTTTACAAATTTAACCAATGTGTAATAAAATTACATTACGACATATCATTTTCGGGAATTAATTATTAACGTTTCCGTATATACGCTATCCATGCCCATATACGTAAGTAATTGTCGGAACAATAAAATACTTAAATGAATAAGGAAATTGACATGACTGATATTTATAACATTATAAATTATAACATTATAAATTATAACATTATAAATTATAAATACTGTTAAGAGTTATAATAATTTTAATTATTTCTCTTTAAAGAGTAAAATTTTTCTATTCATCTCTATATACTACTTCCTTATAATAGCTTAAGATTATTATTCTTTTAAAGTTATTTTCAGTTTTATACGCTTTATATCTTATTTAATTGTCGTTTACATAATAATTTCTAAACGTACTTAATAATGAAATCATTTCTAAATGTTTATACACAATAAATTTATATTATATTTTGTATCGTTTACTTATTATACTTATTACGATAATAATGATACTCGATGAAAAATGTTTTATACATAATTTTAAACATAATGACTTCAGAAATCTTATTTACACTAATAAATTATTGTAAAATCATCGAAATCTGGTAAAATGACTTCAGGTAGTTAAATAAATTTCCTTTTACAATACAATACATTTTCAGGTACTGTTTTACTATTAAAGAGTAAATATAGATTTGCATAAACGAAATAATATAATGAAATTATAAGTTTCATTTCTATGAGACTTATAATATTTTTTAGTATTTTATACTTTAAGTATAAAGTATTTTATACTTTATTTAAGAATTTCATTTTAAAATAATCACAGTCAAATAGTAAAATAGTTATTAATTTAACATTTATATTTCTTACAGATTATTTTAAAATGTGGTTAGAAAAAACTTATTTTCCAAACATTAATTCTAATAGCGTTCTTCTTATCGATTCAGGGATTGGATAAGGTCCCAATATTATTTCAGATTTAACATCTGCAGGAAAACATATTACTATAATACTACTATAATTATACCGGAAGACACTATAAGAAAAATACAACCATTAATTGTTTACGGATTTAGACTTTGAAAAATTTTGCTAAAAAAATTTCAGATATTGTTTTACTATTGAAAAATAATATAAATTTACATGAAAGAAATAATATATTAGGTGTACAACTTTGCTTCCGCCGTTTTCCTATAAATGGCTTTAGCGGTAAGTGATGGTCGAAATAAATAGATCATAGACGTCATACAATAAACTTGGGCATCCGTCAACATATCCCCATTATATATAGAAACATTAGTCGATTTGTGTCTGCATCATAAAGTTATTCTCGATTGAAA